AGTTATTATACTCCCTGACAGTGAAAGCTGGTAGAACCCACGTAAACACACACACACGCGGACTGGCACAGATGAGTGCGCATAGCTGTCCAGCCATTTGACTGGCTGTCACCAAGTTTAAAGTAGCCAATGAAGCACGCACGAAATACCTGTCACATCCTGCGGATGAGAACTACATTGAGTGACATCCTGAGCAGGATAAGAAAAGTACATGTAGGCCAGAGCATGCAGGGCTACCCTGTGCAACAAAGTAGGGGTACATGGTCACGGATACCAGTATGGAAAACCCACAATAGCAGTCATCAGTTAGAGCCCGTTAGCATGCAAGCCTGAATGCACATGCCATTAGCCTTTTGGTCACACTGTGAGCACCAAGATTTGCAACACCTCATACAATATTTTATCTGACACGTATAATAAATGTTACAGCTACAGTGTGTGCATGCAGCATGTGTGTGGGATAACCTGCCCAGATAACAAGCTGCACTGTAGCTGGAACTTGTAACGGCTGTCACCGCAGTCTCCGCAACTGGGTTAACGTTCGGGTTTGTGTCTGGGCACGGGGAGACGCACATGACTCACAACACAGGAAGGAAACCTGATAGCAAACCATTCAGCATTTTTATATTTTATGCATTCTGTATTTACATGTTTGTTTTCTCGACAGGAAGGAATAAACAAGTTAGTCAGCTGATGACTAAATCATGACAGATGCATTAATGATACACCACTGGTCCTCAGTGTTCACGCATTGACATTCACAGATAGGGCAGTTATGTGTGTGTGTACGAGTGTGTGTGTGTTGCGTAACATGTTTCTCAAGCGAGACCTCTTTAATTGCCACAGTATAGACTCCGTGCATACAGGCGGGAGAGCAACAGTGTTTATGCTTCTTGTAAAGCAGATGTGGGGGTTGAAATCAATGGGAGGATGGTGTTTGTTGGGTAAGGAGGAGAAAGGAGGGGTGGAATAGAGGGTGAAGTGGAGAGGAGGAGACTTGGAGAGCTGGATGCAGTGGTGTAGAGGACAGGCGGGTGAATGAATTGGTGTCATCTTAGCTAGTAGAAGCCGTGGCTTCCCATCTGCTGCCATCATTAACAGTAAGAGCGTCCCTAATTTAAGCTAATTGCTGACATCGAGGAAGTAAACAAAGCGCGTTCAGTTTGGAGATGAGCTGAAGACAAGGAGGGTGAAAAGAAACATTTTCAGGAGGCTGTGAAATGGTTCCAGACTGCACTTGAAATCTTGTCAAGTACAGTCTTGAAAGAGGTGCTGAAACAGAGCTTAAATGGCTATGCTAAACAGGGCTACATCATTTTTTTCAAATAAGCAACAAGGATGATAAATTCATTTTCTTGCATTACCTAAGTGCGTTGTTTAGAGCTGCACTAATGAATATTTATATAATGTATACAATATATTATGAACGGTCCATTTATAATACAAAATATTGTTGCCTGTAATGACTATCTATCTTGCCTCCCTGCAATTTTTTCCTTAGCTTAATGTATCATTTTAGCATCTTTCAACTCAGTGTTCAGAGACCATAGTGTTGGGTAACATTTATAGTATATTCCAGTTACCTACTCTGTATAAATATATTAAATGTTTTCCACATTAATTTAAAATATGCCAAAATGACTGTATGAATACAAGTTATTGTTTATCTGCCATTTGAAAGAGCTATGAAACTATGAAATAATACTGTTTTTTGAAAAACATTTTTGTCATTCCATGAGCTAGCTGAAAGTGAACAAAAAAGGCTAACAAATATGAAATTGCAAAGATATGTTAGTATTTTTTTTATATAATGTTTATCTGTGCAGACAGTACAAAAAATCTGATAAGGCAATATATGTTTAGAAACTTCCTTTACTTTAGCCAACATGGCTTAAGTAAAGCATGGTTTCAGTATCCTTTGCTAATGTTAGTTGTATTGTATTTTGTAGTATGTTAATTTCTCAGGGACCATGTACAAGAACTGCTTCTTGTAATCTTCTACAAGAAGACATGCCTTGTACTACATTTAACTATTAGCTGATTTTAATCCTACTAGCTAATTTTCTTCCTACTTGCTAATCGTACTAGTAAGTTACTGTAGTTAGCGATGCAAAATTACTCTCTTTTTTTTCTGAGTGATTTGTATTTTACTTTAATGCAACCTGCATTCTGTCAAAATGCTTCAGCTTTATTTATAGAAATATGGTAGAGTAAAACATCTGGGTATCTCACTTCCGACAAATGCTTGCACCACAGTAACTACTGCTATCACTTTACCGGTGTCCATAGGTCAGTTTTCTATTCAGCAGCTTATGTAAACTCAGTTCTAAGCTGTACAGGTAGCATCTTTGAATGCTTTTTCTTTTCTTCATTTTTTTTGTTTGTTTTCTTGCACAAACAACTGACACAGTGCACAGTCAATAGAGAAACTTAAAATGTGTCTGTAACTGTAAAATCCAAAGGAATACTCTTATTGGCCACTTTATTAGCTATCCCTGTTATATTGCTCGCTAATGCAAATATCTAATCTACTAATCATATATTAGCAATTCAATGCATTTAGGTAGGTAGGTGGACACTGTATAGACCACCTGTTGGAGCATCAGATTGTGGAAGAAAGGTGATTTAAGAGGCTTTGAACTTGTTTGTTTGCTGTTTTGTTGGTGCTGGCACTTTCTAATGCAACCATCTCTAGGATTTACAGAAAATCCCAAAATGATGAGACAAAAAAATCTAGTGAGCAGCAGTTCTCTGGGTTAAGCTTTTCTGGGTTAAGGCAGCAGTTACTCAAAAAACCAGTTGTTACAACCGAGGTATGTACATCACACAACATGTTGAACCCTGAACCAGATGGGCTGCAAGCAGCAGAGGACTACACCAGTTTTTGTGTTAAGTAGATTGACTGACAGAATGTATAACATTATATAACATTTTTTTATATTCTTTAAATCCATGAAAAAGCGTTGTAAAATTGAAACTTCAAGTGTTTCACATTGAAAATCCAGATTCTTAAAGGGTTCTGAAGTAGCCCAATCACTGTCTAATGTCAATAACAGTAAAAATGTTTCAAGCCAAATAACTGAGGCTGAAAACAGTGATTTGAAATGGCTTTGCTATGCTTGCAGATCAGAGCTTTTATTGAGAACAAAGCTGTACTGTACAGGGTGGGCCATTTATATGGATACACCGTAATAAAATGGGAATGGTTGGTGATGTTAAAGTCCTGTTTGTGGCACATTAGTATATGTGAGGGGCAAACTCCTCAAGATGGGTGGTGATCATGGTGGCCATTTAGAAGTCGGCCATCTTGGATACAACTTTTGTTTTTTCAATAGGAAGAAGGCCATGTGACACATCAAACTTATTGGTAATGTCACAAGAAAAACAATGGTGTGCTTGGTTTCAATGTAACTTTATTCTTTCATGAGTTATTTACAAGTTTCTCTTTGTTCACAGCCACTGACATGTCGAAGAGGTTAACACGTGAGGACGTCAGGTGCGGATCGAAATTGTGTTGATATCTGGTGAACGCAGTAACCGGGTTATTGCAGCAGATTTCCATGCAAGACACCCTACGAGACCACCGATCTCCCATGCTACAGTTAGCAAACTGCTTGTTAAGTTTCGTGAAACTGGCTCAGTTTTGGATTTGTCAAAATGTGGACGCAAGAAAACTGTCACTAATGAAGAAACATCAGTGGCTGTCCTAGCTTCATTCAGCAAGAGCCCACAGCGTAGCACTTGCCGCATGTCACTGGAGAGTGGCATTAGTCGAACATCCCTTCGGCGGGTATTAGCTATTCACAAATGGCACCCTTACAAACTCCAGCTACTGCAGCATCTCAACGAGGATGACCCAGATCAGCGCACAGCATTTGCAGAATGGGCAAAACAAAAATTGGAACAGGACCCTCAGTTCACGCAGAAGATTTTGTTCAGTGATGAGGCAAACTTTTATGTGAATGGTGAAGTTAACAAACAAAACCACCGCTATTGGTCTGACACTAATCCACATTGGATGGATCCCTCCAAGACTGTTGGAACAACAAAAGTGATGGTTTGGTGTGGTATATGGGGTACAAAGATAGTGGGTCCATTCTTCATCAATGGAAACCTCAAGGTTGCTGGATATTTGAAATTGCTACATGATGATGTGTTTCCCTCTTTATGCACTTAAGCTGGCACGTTCCCTGAGTTTTTCCAGCAAGACGGTGCACCACCACATTGTGGGTGCCAGGTCCGAGCATTCCTAGATGAACAGTTTCCTGGAAAGTGGATTGGTCGTCGTGGGCCAGTTGAATGGCCCCCAAGGTCTCCCGATCTGACCCCCTTAGACTTTTATCTTTGGGGTCATCTGAAGACAATTGTCTATGGTGTGAAGATACGAGATGTGCGGCTCCTGAAACTACAGATACTTGATGCCTGTGCTGGCATTTCTCCTGCGGTGTTGCTATTAGTGTGTCAAGAGAGGGAGAAGAGGGTTGCATTGACAATCCAACACAATGGGCAGCACATTGAACACATTTTATAAGTGGTCAGAAACTTGTAAATAACTCATGAAAGAATAAAGTTACGTTGAAACCAAGCACACCATTGCTTTTCTTGTGACATTACCAATACGTTTGATGTGTCACATGGCCCTCTTCCTATTGAAAAAACAAAAGTTGTATCCAAGATGGCCGACTTCTAAATGGCCACCATGGTCACCACCCATCATGAGGAGTTTGTCCCCTCACATATACTAATGTGCCACAAACAGGACTTTAATACCACCAACCATTCCCAAGTTATTACGGTGTTATTATGGTAAATGGCCCACCCTGTACAATGAGTCAGCTTGTCAAAAAGCTCTCTTAACCTTTACTTTTTAATTACTGTTATTTTGTTTTAAAAAAGCGTCCTTGGTTTGGTTGTACACTTCAGTTGGTTTTCTAAGCACATCGACCAGCTTGTGAGTGGTTTTGTGTAACCTGAGGCACTAAAAGAGAGCCTGAACTCACCGTAGTGGTTTTAACTCGGCCTCCGGGCTGCGTACAAGTCCAGCCAGATCTATTGACTAACAGGTCGCAACCCTCGTCCTCCAAACATGGCACCATCTCACACCATTGCTTTTTCCGAACAATACCAGCTGCGGAGGAGACACAGAGAGAAAAAGAGTGATTAGGAGAGTGACCTGGGGGGGTTGGGGGGTGAAATAAACAGATGAAGAGAAATGATAGGGAGAAGTCAATGCAAAGATGTAACGATTAAGACAGAAGAAGAGCGGGTCGGGGAATGACAGATGGAGGAAGACAGATACGGGCAAAGTTATAACAGGATTGAAAAATGATGGAAAAGCAGAGATGTGAAAAAAATGTAGAAATATAAATGGAAAAAAGAAGGAGCAATGTGGTGGTGGTGGGGTGAGAGATGAGATGTGGAGGTAGATGAAGAGCAATGAAGTAAAGGGACAATTGAGAGGTATGAACGCAGACGATGACAGTGAGAGATGAGGGAAAGATGGGGAGAATCAGACAGATGGAGTGAAATGGAGAGAGCTGTGATCAGTCAGGTAAATAAAATCAAACATCTCAAATGATATTTAGGAGGCTTTACAGCCATCTTGCCTTCAGCAACATTTCAACCAGGATGATATATTTTGTTAGCACGCCACCTAAATTTTTACCACAAGGGATTTAAAAAACAAAATAAAAACAATTCATATGTTAAATACAGTTGGAACAATCTGGGACATTCAGTGCACATTTTGTCATAGCTGTATGACAAATGTTTTTCCAGCACTGCTCTGCTTTATTGAAGTTTCAGACTCCAGTTAGTTAGTTTCTACTCGTCTCTCAAAAGCAATAGGATTCAGCCCATTACATAGAGGCTGAACACGTACTAGGCTTCACTGACAGACTGAGACACAGTGACAAGACTGATAAATGTATTGACAACTGAAGCAGGCTTCTGTCAATTCAAAGAGAGTGTTGTTGGAGGTGCAATGTATTCTTTCACCTGCACTTACGCTGGCATAGGTTCCCAGTCATCCCTGTCTTTAGTGCTTGAGTTGAAGGCAAATAGCATCTTATTTTAATTCTACTTTTTCTAGTGAATATTGGAGATTTTTTGTTTGTTTTGGACATTCTTAATATATTTTGTGTCCCAAAAAGGGGCAGTACTGCTGCTCACTGCTTTGAGCAGGTCCTTGTTGCATTGCAGGCATTGTGTGTTACACTGTCACACTATTTGGCTATCTATCCACAGTAATGTGAAAAGAAATGTTGTGTTTTTTTGCTTGGAAAATACAAGACAAACACAGAGTTTGTTCAATTCTAATAGTCAACACTCAGTGTGACCACCTGTTTTTCAGTTTTATTGTCTTTTCCTTTAAATAGTCTTCAGAATATTTCTCCAGGCTTCTTAAAAGACATTCAAAGCTCTTCTTTGGATGTTGGCTACCTTTTGTTCTGTTCTCTGTCAAGATGATCCCACAATGCTTCAACAATGTTGAAATCCCGGCTCTAGGAAGACCAATCAATGATTGACTATTTAAATTTGTGTTTTATTATCCAGGCTGAAATGCAGCCCCAAACATGACGGCACCTCCACCGTGTTTTGCAGATGATTGTAGACACTCACTGGTGTTACTCTCTTGAGCTCCTCCGTACATACTGATGAAGGTATGTGGATTTATCACTCTATAAGACCTGTTTCCAACAATTTTCAGATCAGTCCTTGTATAATTTTGCATATTTTAGATTTTTCATGAATGGCTGCTTGGCAGCCACCTTACACTGAGGTCATTTCTTATGAGGCTGACAAGCTGAAGGGCCAGATGTGTCTCTCAGATCCTGTGTCAGGTCTTTGCTGGATATTTTTTCCCTTTTCTTAAGGACATGGCTTTCAGGTCCAGTTCATCTGCTGTAGATAGTACTATATCACTTTTGTCCTCCACTTGTTCAGTTTCCTCAGATTTCTTTTATTAAGGGCACATTGCACACCATAGTGAGTTATGCCAAGTTTTGGAATCACCTTGTTGGAGCTAAAATATTATTATTATGCCTGTCAAACTGTGTTATCATCGGTATCATTTTCTGTAGATTTAAATAAAGAAATCAGAAACAAATTATGTGATTTTGCCACAGACTGGTTGTAACAAAGTATCTAAAGATACAATTTGGAATTGGTTCTTTGCTCAGTTTTTCTGTTATGTATGGATGCGTCTCTTTTTTGTGCTTGAATAGGTCAGTTTTATGTAGCTTAAAGATTAAAAATACATTCCTCTGAAAATGTTCAAAAAAGCAGATAATGTCCAAAGAAAAAGTTTAGAAAGCTGGAGAAGTGTTGCTCAAAACCACTTTAAGATATTGCACGACAGTCTGACTCACTGGAAGGAAAACATAATGAAATGGGTGGCTAGAGATATTTGCGCAGTACTTTTAAAATTCGGATTAAATGGTTTTTCATCACAAAAGAACCCCGTAATTGTATTTATCCTGACGTACAAACACGGCCATCCAATAGGTAATTTTAATATCTGCAGTTTTCAATTGTAAATAAGCTTCCGTTCAGGGGTTCAGCCTATTTCTTACTGAGTTTTCGACTGTAAGTCATCCATCATATAGCCCCACTAAGTTATCAGGAGTCTTTATTGTCTTCAGCTGCAGCAGAAGTTTGTGAGTTATAGAAAATCAGACAAGATATATGCAGCTAGCTGCTTTCTGTGACAGGCCATGCTGCAGAATGAATCATCAATAAGCATCATCAAAGGATCACAAATTTACATTAAACTCGTGGCTTTGGAAAAGAGCCTCTATGATAACATATTAGCACCAGATTGCATAATAGCAGCCCGGATGAATTTACTGAATATTAAATGAGTAAATGAATGAATATTTCATTTTCATGTCTGGCATTTACATGTCCCATCCCTTACTAATGTGTTATTCAGACACGTTACCTAACAACAAACCAAACATGACATGTTAACCACCATCGTGCAACATCGGAATCACCCAGACATGCACATAAATGTAAACAAATGTAAACATAAACAAAAGGCTACCACAGATAACGCTCTAGGAGATATTTCATTATGGAAATCCAACAAATATACATGCACATAAACACAGGCCCCTAAACCTAAAGCATAATACATGTGACATCTGCATGTACTCGTGACAACCATTTCAACCATTTGTGTGTGTGTGTGTGTGTGTGTGTGTGTGTGTGTGTATATATATATATATATATATATATATATATATATTAGGGGTGCAACGATATTCGTATCGATATTGAACCGTTCGATACAGTGCTTTCGGTTCGGTACGCATATGTATCGAACAATACAACATTTGTAATTTATTTTATCAACTTTCCTTCTGACGATGCTTTCTGTGTTGAGCGCTCAGTGAATCTGCGTTCGACTACTCCGCCTAGGCTGCACTGTCGAGCGCAGATCCACTGAGCGCTCAACACAGACAGCATAGTCAGGAGGAAGAGCGCAGGGCAAGCTAGCGAGACAGAAGTTAAGCTCTCCTTGCAAGATGGACCTCCCCCACCCTCATTCAGATCTGGCGTTTGGAATTATTTTGGTTTTCATGTGACGTATGACCCTGAAGGTAAGCGAGTCATGGACTAAAGTAAAACAGTATGTTGGATGTGCCATGCAATGCTTAATTACATTGGTGTGAACTAGTGTGTTAGCGCAGTTAGCTCGTTAACGTGTTGGCCGTCTAGCCCCATGCACGGGGCGATCGGCGGTAGCTCGTTAACGGAGATTTGCCGTGTTGTGGCGTTAAGGTCATTTCAACGAGATTAACCTGAAAGCACTAGTGGGAACACAACGAATATGACTGCACATTTACGCCGACATCATCCTAGTGCAAAGACAAAAACAACAAGCATGCTACTAACTTTAGCCGAGTCATTTAGACAGCTGTTAGCACGTGATTCTCCTTATGCTGCTGAGAATATAGCCCAGAAGAAGCGGATAGTATAGCTTTTATTTTGGAAAGAGACATTTCTCTGTAATAAACTCTCTTTTCCAAAGATGAGTGATTCCTCAATCAGATACAGGGCTCGCAATATCGCTAGCCCGACGTCCTGGGGCTAGCGATCTTTCCAGTCGGGCTACAAAAATCTCTCTGCCCTGCCCGTCGGGCTATTGTAGGAAAAATATATGTCAATGCTTTTGCATTCTTTCAGAAATGTAGCTGGGTAATTATGTCATTGGCATTGGTGAGCCACTGTCAATATGTGACATATTGAAATCGCGTTTGAATTTGCGCTTGTTTTTTTGCTTTCACTTTGCAATGACAGCACTGATCTGTGAGTGATGATAATTTGTGCACCAATTCCTCTGACATCGTCTTATTAATCGTTAGCTTACTATGCAAACATGACAAGTGAAATCTCCCGCAGCAAGCTTAAACATGTGAGAGGTTGATCGCGCAGAGAATCGCTGAGCTTATGTGAGTCCGTGTGTAAAAGTAGCAGTATATATATTTTAGTTCTGCTGAGCCAAATAAGACAGGTCGGGGTGAAGAAGTGACAGCCAAAGAAAAGCTTACCACAAAACGGAGAAGTTATGACAAATGAGACTATAAGGCAAAAAGAAAGTGCAGCTTTATGGTTTCATGGACAAAAGAATTTCTGTGGCTGCAATATGACGAGCTAAATAACCAGGGGTGCACATAAGTGGTCCGCAGGTGCGCATTCGCTGTCAAAATAAAAAACGCGCACAAGGGTTAGGGTTAAATTTAAAAACTGTACTTTTGAGTTAAAATATATATTTATAATTTTAATAAATGACAAATTAAAAAGGCATGAACATTTTTTTGTATCGAAAATATTTGGAAACCGAATTTCCCAGAGGAACCCACCCGAGGGATTACCGTAATAAAGTCTTATCTTATCTTATCTTCAAATTTCATCCATCTACACAACATCGTCGGAAGCATGTTTCCTTTCCTGTGTTTTAGAAAGATATTAAGAAAGTGGAAAAACGCAGTCAAAATGACATCAAATTGAAGCTGCATTCCCAATCGCAACTCCAATCAGGAACATGAACTTTTTAAACAACATTTGTCATAAACTGTGATGTAAAGGACAATTTGAAATCTGTTTAACTCAAAACGTGAA